AGAAGTAATATTTTGGGGTTTTCGTTTCTGATTTTTTTGACAGGTCAATTTTCAAGCTAGAGGGCTCAAAATCAATACCGTTCTTGCTTTTTATTCTACAAAGCTACGCTAAAAATTTCAGATACCTAACTTAACCCGTTCTCGAGTTATCGTGTTTACAGACAAACAGACAGACAGACAGACACACAGACAGACAGACAGACACACAGACAGACAGACAGACACGAAACTTTTTGATCATCACTGGAGTAATAGGCTTCGCTATCGCTCAGCCAACAATTTGCAATAAAAGTTGACGTTATGGGTCGTCAAAAATTATTCTGGTGCTAGTTGGAGCTTGTTCCGGCATTTTGAGTCTAACTCTTAACGTTTCATTCAATAGTCACAAGTTATAAGTTATAACTCTTAACGTTTCATTGTATGGTCACAAGTTATAAGTTATAACTTTAACGGATAACGTACCGCTAAAGGGGACTTTCAAGATAAGTTACGGACCCCTGGCCGCCGGCAGGCCAAGCAGGCCCGGCCCCTGCCGAACGGAGTTGCCGGCGCAGCGAAGTGGAGCTGGCAACTCCGTTTGGCGGAAGGGTGGGCCTGCTTGTTTTATCTTCTTATCTTTCTTGCAATTTCATTTGTTTCAGTTTGTGATGCCTCTGTTTTTATTTTTCCAGCAAGCACTTGTGCCTGGCATAAACTGCTATGCCAACATGCATGTAACGTCAACCATGCACCGAAACAACAAGAAGATGGGGGTGTACTTAGGGGCTCTGCTGCGGCTACTGGTACCCGAGCGAGTGCTTGCCATGCCGCACCTCTCTGCAAGGGGCATGCTGCTGCCAGGCAAAATCGGGCTACCAAAGCCAATTTATGAAGCTGTCAAAGGTGTTAAAATTTCATTTGACAAGAACCAAAAATAGACGTGAAGGAAAATGTTTTTTAGAAAATCCTTTGAGTTTCTAACTCATATGTTTGTTTTACAGTGTACATGGAGCATCGGGGGCTCCATCCCCAAAATGGATTTGCCAACGGTATAAATGTCATCATGGGCAGTTGTCGTCAAAAGATAGCCCAGGAACGAAATGCCGCAAGAGACAACAAAGCATCTGGTAAAGTAATCTTGTTATTACCGGTTATTTCTTTAAAAAAGAGTTCAATTTATACAAATGAAGCAATTAATAAATTCTTTTGTATTCAGAGAGAATGACCAGCTGGCTCCGGCGCCCGGAAAACCAAGGAGTCGTGCAGCAACAAGGCGAGGCCAATCACCACCAAATCCAATTCCCGGCCCAACCAGACCCAGCAGGTGTCGACCAGGAGTCAAGCTTCTCCACTCTCGTATCCGCGAGTATCAATATGGAGCAATAGTGATTACTGCAATACTAATAATTACTGTAATCATTACTGGTTAACACAGTTCCTAAGTTTTATCCACTTGACCTTTGAATGTTTTTTATTTTTATTTCTTACCTTGACCATGAAATGTCCTTTTGTTTTTATATAAAGACCATATGAAGTGTTATTTTGTAATAGCAGTTAGGTTCAACAAATATTGAATGTTTACTAAAAAAGATTAATAGTTCAAATTCACTGCGACACTAAAACCTTTCAATGGCTACCTCGTACACGCAGCTCAAATCCATGCGCCCCCCACCTTCCCCACCCCCACGGCGGGCGCGCTTTCATGGCGCACTGTAAATATTTCATACTATCACGCACCGGGCTACCCCTGACGCCTCCCGTTGCGCTCGCTAGGACGTCTAAAAAGTTCCTGGGTCTTATTAAAAATATATTGCAATTCTACAGCTGAACATTTTACAGGCTTTTGGGGAAAAAAACAACCATATCCGAAAGCCATGATTTTGGTTGAAGCTGTAGTTTTACGAGGAATGTTGTAATTTATGTGAAGTAATGGGCGCACTGTAAAATTACAGCAGGGTTGTAAAGTTATCCTTATTTTTACAAATCCACAGGTTTTCGTGGGTAACTGCTTTGCAAAGTGAAGTCCGGGCTTAAATTTGTAGACATAATCCAAAACAACGTCCTCAAATGAGGAAAAAACTCACGATAAATGCATGAGAAACACCCAGTTTTCAATATTGAAACGGAAAAAATTCAAAATCTCCGAAATATTTATATGACAGCTTCTACAACCGATGTTGTAGTCTGACAGCTATTCAGTAATTTTACAGCGCTACCTTGAAAACGGAAAAAAAAGTGTCAATGTTTTTTGGGTTCTATGGCAAACGGTCTGGGACTGCACTGTTATTCAACGAATGTGACGTCACATTCGTTTCGATGTGAATCGTGTCACGTTCATTTGAATGTTGTGTCATATTCGTTTGAACGTGAATCGGCCAAGCCTGGCGCCATTAGAGCATCAATTCACCTGATGTCACGTTTAAATAAATGTGACACAATATTCAAACGAATATGACACGTTTCACATTGAAACGAGTGTGACGTCACATTCCTTGAATAACAGTGTGGTCGGGGGAACGGTGAGAAAGTGTGTGCGCTCCGACTACGGAGAATGCTCAGCTTACTTCTGTTTTCCGGCGGTCTAAGAATCGTTTCCGTCCTCTGCGTCTGCACGCTGTCCTATCTCTGTTGGCGTTGGGCCCGGGGGTTGAATGGGATATGAGTGCAATAGACCTCACAACGATGCATGAAGATTAACACAAAATATTCAACTAACAGGCCATTTTTTCCATGCGGGTTTCTAGAGGTTTTACGACTTAGGCACTCTGAGGTAAACTTTTTTTTTTATTGCTAAGACAAGTTTTTGGCCACATTTTTCTTAAAATAAAACAAAGGTTGCAAGCATGATTATTTTTACCAACATCAGTTTTCCAAATGTAAAATTTATTTGCACACTGAGACATTGCCACAATGAAGAACAAATGAGGGCCAGGTTTCACAAAATATAGTGCTCACGTACTGATTTTTTATACAAGATGTTTTAGTTTTTTTGTTTTTTTCCCAGGTCGATCTATACTTGCTTTTGGCAATCTCAACCAACTACGTCCTGTTCAAGACAGTTGGATATTTGAACCACCTGAAGACAATTTAGGTTAGGTTAGGTTCCTCTCTCTGGCATAAGTTTAAGTTCTACAAACTGACCCAAATTATGCACCAACGTGAGGATACTCTCTTCGCGGAAGCGCTGAACTGTATTCCTACCAGTGAGACAACGACTGAGAAGGACGCCATGTTCCACTCCAGAGAGATCTCTCGCCTGGCACGTCAGGGTATCCACCCACCTAGTGATGCTTTATTTATTGTCGAGACGAATATCCAAGTCCACCACTTCAATGACGACCGTCAACAAAACCCAGGGATTGCCCCGCAACTTGAGTGTAGAGTCACTGCACCATATATGGTGACAATTAACCTCGCAACACAGGATGGCCTCACAAACGGCTCATGAGGTACTCTGCGCCATATCCCCAGTACTGGAGACGGGCAACGCATCCCTCTGCGGCTTTCCCTGGAATTCCCCGACGTAGCCGTCGGCAAGCAGACACAAAGTAGTAATTCCACTGTTGTCTAGAGATGGAGTCGATAACACACTGACCCCAAACGAACCAGAGTCTATGGCCATTATTCCCAAAACAGGCTCTCTCCTCAGAATTGTTCGCACACAGTTTCCATTGGTACAATGTAAAGCAATGACAACGTTTAAATGCCAAAGGGGTACCAAGCGTGCCGTCATTGTCGTTTTACGGGAAAAGCGCCGCATGGAGTTATTTTACGTAGGCTCAAACAGTGCCACTTCTTTACAAGGCCTTATTATTCATGGAGTGTATAGACGCCCTTCGCCTTCCTCCAGGAACGATTGAGTACTTAAAGAAATTGCTCGTCTTAACTTACCAGAAAACGCCGCACAATTCAGCATTCAGTTTCCAGAGCTTTGTGTTTCTGACGATGCCATTGTCGCTCTCCTCCACAGCATAAGATCCTTGCATAAACACCATAACCATGTTTCGCAGGACCTTAGTTATACTGGGTCAGACATTCTTATGTTCTGTGAAACGTGGACTATGCCAGACGACGAAATATCCCTACCAGGTTTCACGTTAATTTAAGGAAAGGACTGTATAAAGCCTACGCGGCATCCTTATGGTGCTGTGCTATACGTCAAGGACCGGCTAGCCCATCAAATCACCGTCGTTTTTGAGCAACCTCAAAAAGTGGAAAGATGGCAAACTGCATTCATTTGTAGACATTGTTGGTTTCATGAAACGTGGTCAGAAGAATGTCGGATTTGTGTTTTTGCACACGTCTCCACAAAGTGCATTACTGGAATTTAAGCGCCATTTAAAAGATTGCCTGGACTCAGTCGAAAGTCATGGTGTGGAGTCAATTTTCGTTATTGGGAACTTTAATCTCAACATCAATAACAACGATGCTGCACAATCTCTTTTATAAATGATGAGTAACTTCGGCCAACACCTCAGTGTAAACAAAGGAGAAGTTTCCACCGACAACGGAACTCTTATCGACCTGTGTTTCTCAAACAATCTTGAAAATGTAGCCTTTATCACCGAATCTGTCATCAGTGACCACAAACCAGTATGGTTCAAATTAACTGAACTCTATTTCCTAAACTGTTGTCCTTCCAGCTGCTATTATTGATTATATGGCATCATCTGGCTGGCGTGCAAGGACTTGAACTTTCTCATCATCATGAAATCATTTTTTTTCTCGGTGTCTGGTTTAGAATTTGCGACAGAGCTGGAGAATATATACTTGCATATCTCTGGTTCCCCGAGATAGGCCGGGTACGCCAACCGTCCGAAAAATAAACAGTTTTGGCCGAGTGGCAGATGGTTGATGCATTAGAGTATATAGTTGACCAAAGAACGGTCCAGAAAATGCAAGGTTCAAAAATCAAAACAAGAGTAAAATCCGTCATCACCCTTGCCACAATTCAAGATGCATTTAAGGGGCGACTAGAAAATACTGCTTTCCTTGGGGAATTATAAATGTTCCTGGATGCAATAATGATTGGTGTGGTAACAGTAAGTTTAGAAAATATCTTTACTTGCTTTAACAGGTAGAATCTCAGCGCAGACATTAATTGACTTATTTTTGTTTTTCAGAAAAAGGTTGAATCGGACAGTAAATCTGAAAGTGATGATGAAGACGAAGATGATATTAAGGAAAAGCAGGAGACCGTAAGTCTTTTCCATTTGTGCTGTCTTTGAATCATAACGCTTTTTTCGATTTTTGCAGGCCTCGGGCGCCAAGCAAAAGCTGAATGAAAAACCTCAAATGTGCACCTACACACAGATGCCTAAAGCTATTTACGTCTGCAAAGGTGGCAGTTACGAACGCCACAAACAAGGAAAGGGCCGTCCAGACCCAAGCCAGATATGTCGCAAAAATAATTGGCTTTGTCGAAAACTGCTTGGGCCAGCCTGCCAATGAGTTTTACTGGCCTGAAACACCAGTTCACCATGAAGAATTCCTGAAAACTTCCAGAAACAGCCGGCATGCAAGACGATGCAGTGGCCAACTACAAGAAGGCCATGGGAAATATTCACTCTTATATTTTTGGGAAGGACCTGAAAGCAAAAGAGTGCTCCTAGACTGGACACCGTAAGCACCACATCTTTTTTTAATTCTTGTCTTGGAATAAGACATCCTGTTTTTTTTTAGTTACTTACAAACACCCCTTCCTTTACAATGCCTGAAGGGTTCGCCAAAGAAAAGTGTCTGGCAGTGTTTCACACTTGCGCGGCACTTAAGGTGACCCACAAACCCATGGTAGGGGACCTAAAACAAGAGAACAAAAACTTACTCGACCTGTCAAGGTAAAACTTATCCCATAGAACTCTGATTTGCATTGTTTCCCTTGAAATATACTAGGTGGCTGATAGCCCCGCGCACTTCGGTAGTTAGTTTGTATCGCACGCAGGAGTGCGGCCGGGCTTGCCTTTCGCCCCTGTCCACGGCGCCTTACGGACCGGGCGAGTGGGCAACTCGCCCACACTCCTGCGTGCGGTACACTCTAACTACAGAAGTGCGCGGGGTTAATCAGCCACCATCTTCCCTATTCTCTTGCCACGTTAAAACACTGAGCCACTGCTGCTTACAAGAACCAGTTTTTGGTCTCTTTATGAAACGAAACACCACAAACCGGGATTGTCCAAGACAAAAGTTTAATAATCACATGCATACCCTTTCCTCCCCCTCCTCCAATTCTCTATCCCTTTCTCTCTCTCTCCTCCTGGGCATTTTGAAGTGTTTTCTAGCTTGTTCTTTTTTTTTGGCTGAGCGATAGCGAAGCCTGTTACTCCAGTGATGATTAAAAAGTTTCGTGTCTGTGTGTTTGTCTGTCTGTCTGTCTGTACGCACGATAACTCGAGAACGGTTTGAGCAAAGAGGCTCATATTGTATTGTAACTTTGTATCAAAGAGATCAAGAACTGTATTGATTTTGAGCCCTCAATAGACGGTTCCCGCTCTGCGCGTTTCGAGAAGAAGTAAGGAAATCAGGACCGGAACCAGTATGAAAAGTCCGCTTATTTTTCTTATTTAACTGTACAGTGTCACTTAGATGACCTCGAGAAAGTCCATGTAACTATGAAGGTTCATTTGCACTAGTTTTTCCCGTAATTTCAGAACTGTTTCCGGTGACGATTTCTTTAATTCTTTTTGAAATGGGCACAGCGGGAACCGTCTATTATTTTTGCGACATATCTGGCTTGGGTCTGGACGGCCCTTTCCTTGTTTGTGGCGTTCGTAACTGCCAGCTTTGCAGACTTAAAATCATGTCAATGTTTTGTCTCAGATATTTGAGGGTCTCTGGTGGGGTTACTCGTCAAAATGAAAGCCTGAGGAGAAAATTTGTGACTTTTGGGGCCAAAGGCCCATTTACGTCTCTGCCTTTTGCCCGACTCGTGTGTCAGCGCCGCAGGCCTAGGTAGATGTATGCCAGGCGCGTCGCAGCGTAACAGTGTATCGTGAGATGTCGCGAAGCCTGTTACGCGAGACGTGGTCTGGCGTACACCTACCTAGTTTTACACTAGGTACGAGTTATATTTTGCTGACGCAGGGCGCTCCCTTGGTATTCAAAATGAAATTGCAAGCATCAGAGGGCATTACGATGATGGCGGCTTCCTCAACGAAATTAAGGAC